AAAAGCTTATGCCCAAACATGGGGCACCTTCGTCTGGAATGGAACGAATGTCTCCTCAACTTTGGGGACGTCAAATACAGTCGGCTTCGTTTTGGCATTCCTTTTGAAGCACCAACCATGAGGGATCTTTAAGTTTGGGACACCAATGGTTTGACATGACAACCGACGCAAAAACCACCTCCTGGGGGGGTCCAACTCATTTTTAGGCACATCGCGTCGACCCGAGTTCGACGCAGCCCTCCCCAGCTGCCCAGCGGCAGCCAAAGCAAGGGCTCTGCTTGTCTCTCATGGGCAACCTGAGACACGCTGGGCAAAGTGGACTGTCTCCGCACGGGCAAAGTCCCTCGTCGGAAGCTTTCGGATCTCCGCGTCAGGTGCGCTCTCTGCTCCACCGCGTATGCGTGGCGCGGGACGCGGCTCCGGCTCCGGCGCCGGCGCCCTCGCGGGCGTGGGCGGTGCGGCAGTCTCACATCCTCTTCTTGCAGCCGGACCGCGGCCGGGCGGAAAGCCAGTGCCATCTATCTGGGTAGCTGAAGGTTGGTCTGAACCAGAACCAGGTGCTCTTTAGTTGATTTACCCGTTGGCAGCCTTGCCTTGGCAAGGAACAGGAAGAAAAGGGGTTTGAACAGCAGTCATCGACAACGCAGTCTGTTTTTTGCAATCAACCACTGCGCTTATTGTTATCTCATCAGTGCGAGATCGGTTTGACGACCCGGACCCCGATTTTCCCAGCCTAGCTCCCTCGCTTGCTTGTTATTCGAGGGAAGATTCTCCACACACCAGGAAAACCTCGGAAGGGTCTGCCTAAAAGGGATTTCTTTCCTATTTTGAGTGTTCCGTGTAAATTTCATGTAGGGCAAATTGTCAAGCAAACCTCACTGCTCCATTCTGCAAACTGGTTAAACAACGGTGACATCAAGGAGACGCGGTCGGGAACATTCAGTCGGGAAGTGCACCTCTCAGCTTGAGCAGGGCCCAAGACCCCTTTTGGCGAACATCCAAAATTTGTCTACTTGCTGGATTCGTGGGTACAATACAGCCTGGTGAATTCAAACCTTCAACACCGTCCTGGTAGAACGGACCAACTGCATCGGGTCCAACAGAGCCCCGCGGCTCACTTGAAGAAGCTTCTGTGGTTGTCGAGCCCCAACGGGCCAGCCAAGGCCAATCAGGCCAAAGGTCTCTTATGGAGTAATGGGGCCTTTGGGCCGAACCATCTGACAACCTGAGGCAACACCACGGTGCGGCCTCTGCGGCCCTTCTGCACTGGGAATGTGGACTATGCGCCAGTGAGGTACGGGGACTGGCACAAGAGCAAGACCCGCCCCTCGACTCGAAGGAATTTGAGCGTCGTGGGGGAGGTTGGATGGTTCGCATTTTGAACGTTTGCCCCAAAAGACTACCATGTTTGACAACCTGAGCTTTTCAATCAGCATGGACTTCCCAAGAATCCCTCAGCCAAAGAGCACTCCGACTCATGGCAACAAGCTCCAGTCTAGCCCGTTATATACCAGGCTTTTACAGTCAAGCAAGGACTGGTTGGGAAGACCACTTCCCATTGTCACAGAGGGGTCCGTTTTCCACCAGGGATCCCATTGTGTTACTATGGCTCATGGTTGCACAAGGTTTGCTTGCAGGCTTCAAATTTGAGTTGCTGGACCAGATATCATTGACCGACCAGCTGACTTGATATCCTTGCATCTATTATAAGTTATATAAGTTTTTGGTCAGCATCCTGGGAAGCTGCTCAAGTGGTCCCAAGCCCGGTGCAAAGGAACTTCGAGATCTTGTCCCACGCTCCTGCTGGTCCATTGTCCGTACACCCGAATCAACGCCTTGAATGCAAAACCCTGTGGGATTTTGACTTGCTGTTTCCTCTTTCAGCACTGCTTTTTGGATCCATGACAAAGGGCATCCAACGGAACCCCTAGATGCTGGCACTGCCTCCAATACCACACACACACACACACCCAACTGAGTTGACGCCGTCTCAAACAATCCTTTGGGAACACAGGAGAGGGTCAGTCCTTTTTGAGTGGTTGGACATGATCCAATTTTGGGAGCCCTTTGGTCTCTCCCGTCCTAGGTCTCGCCTTTGCGCGGCCGCCAGGCGGGGTTTTGTACCATCACAAGTTGCCAACAGAAACCAGCTGGGTTTCTTTCTCTGGGCCGGAGCAATCGTTTACCTAGCCTTTCCCTTTTCGGCTTTGTTGGGAACAAGCAAATCATGGCATTGACAGCACCAACGCCACCGCCGGACCGCCTCTGCGTCATTTTTATCACGGTGGACAACTCCTCACAAGGAAAGAGGCTCGTGAGGAGTGGTGCCGCCTCAACCGCCTCGCTGCGCGCTGCCCGCCTCGGCCAGGCTTGAAAGAACAAGAAGAGCAACGCGGCCTTGAGCAAATGATGTCGGCTGGGCTGAACAGTCTGGTGGAGCGCAGAGCCATTGCCAGGAACCCTGAACTCGAGCAGCACGTGCTCGCCAAGGGTGGTCTGAGCAGAGCCGGGGACTGGGTTGAGTTTGGGGGTGGGGGTTATACTTAGGGCTGGCCCCTTCACCAGCCGGGCAAGGGCTGGCGCCTGGTCAGAGCGTTGGCTGGCTGAACATGCAGCGGGGCTGGCGCATCAGCCGAGCATAAATTCCCTGAACTGCGTTGGGGTGTCGCGACACAGTACTTGTCAGTGCCGAGCAAGCCTTCCCCACAAAACGGACGGACGGTTTTCAAGCTACAGGCTAACTCTCCAACCAGTAATCATGAACCTCCTGGCGGAGGCGAGGGGTTAACAAACGAAACGCTTGGATGAGCTCTCGATTTGTAAGGCCTTAGATCCCCAGAGTGGGGGAAACCAAAGAAGCCCAACCGTTTGACCCTCGTTGAAGTATCCTCTTTTTTTGCTGCTGGTCCCGCCACTGGTTAGGAGCTGGCCGGCTCATTTCCTTGTAGGATCTTGACGCGTTTCTTCATGGTATTCTGCAAATAAGCAGGGTTTCGCTTGAGGCGCACAAGTGGGGTGGCACATGATGCGATTGTGATTCCACCACGACGGTGCTCTGCTCAACCAAGCTTGCCTCGACCAGATCAGATCTGGGAGTGAGACATCCCGGCAGCATCGGGTTGCCTCAACTTTGTGCCGCTAGTCTTCTCTCATCCGTTGAGTTGGCGCACTGCAGCTCTTGTTGGGGGCCACGTTTCTCCTTCATTTTGGTAAAAGACCTGTCAGTGCATTTCGTGGCCACCAACTCAAGTCAGCTAAATCCGGCACGTGTAAAGCAGGGGCGTCCCTCAAATAAGTCAGGGTCATGTTGCTTCCCTTTGAAAAAACCCGCCCCCCCCCCCCCCCCCCGAGGGTTCAACGCGTTTTGCTTGGATACACAGCCTTTCTGCTCTGAGCTCGCTCTGTCAGGCGGCAGCATGCGCTTGTGAGTGGACGAAACAAACCGCTCAAGCTGCAAGCGGCCGTGTCCTTGATGAAACACTCATGTTCTGGGCATGCGCAGGCCCCTAAGTTTCCTTCAAGGTCATTGTAGCATCCCCTTTGGTTGCAAGAATTTGGGGAACCTTGCCGCTTGAATTCACTTCTGATTCTCGGGACTCAACGAGACCGCGTGGAACCAGTCACAAGCAAAGCCCTCTATCAGGTTCCATAAGACAAGCCCCATCCAGCTTGCTGTTGTAGGACTTTCTTTGTTGTTTTTCTTCTGACGCTTCCCCATTACTTGCCAACTATGCTCTGCGTTTCACCTCCAACCACTGACAGTCGTCCCGTTTTGGTTTGGACCAATTTGTTGGTGGTTCAGGGCCTGGAAGGATCTTCAAATGGGAACTCCAGGTTGTTTTTTGCTGGAACCTGCGTGGTGCCGACCCCTCACTCCCAATAGGGGCCAACATCCCCACTCTTGCCGAATCCCTATTTGCAGAAGAAGCTGCTATTGCGGACTCCGTTCTTGGGTTCATTGTCAAAGGATGTTTAACAATAACTTCTGGTAACAGCACCCGAATTAGTTAAGAGCGTAAGAATTTATGCACTCCCTTTTCTTTCAGACCTGACCAATTCATTTTAGACACAGTTGAACCAGTATTCAGTGTAGCTGCTAGCATTGGGCAGCACATCCCTTGCAACGAGCGTTCCTTGCCCACTGGGTTCCTTGCCCAGCGCGTTCGCTGCCCAATGTGCGAGCGAGCGCTCGGGATTGCAAGCGGCTTGGATCCGCAAAGAGTCGATGTGCATGTGTTGTCCACAGAAGTCTTTCCATTCCCAACCTTGGTTGGTCTTTGAAGAGTAGGTTCATTGAACTGGCGGCCCGAGTCAGTTCGGACCCTCGGGCGCTTCTGCCCGTTCCACCGCCAGTGCAGAGCAACCCATGCAATCGGCAGAGAACATGGACACCGCCAAGACGGCGGTGACGCTGGGCGCCAGCACCACTCTGCGAGCAGCCACTTGTGGGTGTCCTAAAATTAGGGCCCCCTGTTTGAACGGAAGCCACAAGGTAATCGATCATTCGTAGGGGTGCCCTGTTGTAAGAGACACCCACTTAATCGCGGGTGCCTGAGCAGAAATGGCGCGTTGTTTCGTGCCACTCCCTTAGCTGTTTCCTGCGAAGAACGCCCCCCAAACACAAGGAACAATGACCGGGCCCACTATTTTGGGGCGGCAACTAGAGTGGTTTTCTTTGCAGCTACTGTGGCGCCCGTAAAATTAGGGAGGTCCAAATCACGCAAGCTTCCGTGCGCTTTGGGGGGCCACGTTTATGATTCTGTTTGTGGCTCATACGTTTTTTTTTGAGGGTTCAACTGCCTAGTAATCCGTGGGCAATATGGTGATCACTTCTTTTTTCTTCATTGATGGGGTTTCTGTGGGTTATTGCCTGTCCGTATCAACAAGCAAGTTTGTGAATGCCGGCTCACGCTTCTATTGTGCCTGTAAGCAAGGAGACGGGAGGGTTCGCACTATGCCAGCCTTTAGACACCTGAAACACAAGACAATGCCTCGAAGGCTGCAAGCTTTCTTGCTGCCCAGTGCGGATGAATGCACCCATCAGTGAAATCAGGCGCTCCCACCATCGCCCGCGCGGCTCAACGAGGCGAGGGCTTGGGGGCATTGGAGGAATGATGGCGTCGGGTCCTGTCCCTGCGAAGTTTGGGGAAGCCCGCGCTCTTCCATGCTTTTTTTTTGAATGGGGAGTATGTCAGCGCCAGTTGAATCGACCCCTCATGGTTGGTGACCAGGGTTGGCTTTTCACAGGCATGAGCCAAACAGAGGTCCGCGATTCTGACATTCTTTTTTTTCTTAATTGTTGTTGGTGTCAGTGTTTGTGTTAGTGGTTGTATTTTGTTCGCGTGTGTACGAGTGACCCAGAGTTGGTGTTGGAGTTGGAAATGTCGCCTTGTTTTTGGGTGGCGGGGGAGGCGGGTTTGAACTAGTATGGTCACTGTAACTTGTTCTTGGGATCCCCGCCAGGATCCAACTTGCAGCCCACGCCACTTGTGGGCCACAATGAGCATTGGTCATGGCTCGGTTGGTTGACAAAAGTTGACAACAACTGTGACACGCTTTTTGAGGTCTCGACCTCTTTGAGAAGGCAGCGCACCATGTCACCTTTGTGGCTTCTCAGAGGGGGTCGATCGCCATTGTTGAGCGTATCCCACGTATCTTGGTCCCTCTCTTTCGTGGTTCATGTCGTTTTTCCCGTTTTTCCCGTCTTTTGGGGGGTTCTTATTCCAGGACGGATCCGTATCTTTTTCTCCCCTTCATCTGCTCTTTCAGGACCAGCCTGGCTCTGCTTGGGATCTGGGCCGGCGTGTCTTCTGCCCGGGGCCGCAGGCTATTTGGCTGGGCGGCCGGGTCGTCCACGTCAGCACCCTCTTGAACAGTGCTCTTTTTCGAGTCTGCATACCCGCTAAGAAACATGGTTGTGTGCACTGAAACAATTTGAAGACTGCTGCCCTTTGTAGGCGGAGGCTCTGGTATATACACCAAGCTGCTTTGCACACTGGCAGCTACTCACTGTAAATTGTAGATGATCCGCTCTTCGCACAAGGCAGGAACGCTCGACCACGATTCCAGTGTGAAGCCATGAGACCATTTGTTGGGTTGATGAGGGGCGTGGTCGCGCTCATCTGGCTCATGTTTCTTGGCATGTCTTGGGGACGAGAAGGCTTCTGTCTAACATGCCAAGGTTTGGCATGATCATCAACTATGTTGCCAAGCATATTGTCAGATCAGCTGCCAGATGAAAACATAAGCGAAAACTGTTCCGCAACAAGCTGCCAAGCACGTTGCCAAACACATTGCCAACCATGCTGCCCGACAAGTTGACTAGCAACTTGCCAAGATAATTGCAAGACAGGTTGCCACACAAGTTGCTGCAAGTTGCAAAATGCGTTGCACGATACGTTGTTGAACAAGTAGCCAAGAACGCTACGTGCCAAGCAATGTGCCAAGCACCTGGCTAGATACGGTCACGAGCCATTTGTCAAACACTTTTGCCAAATACAATGCCGCCGGGGGTGCGAACTACGCGTCCAGACAAGTTGCCAGATCTGCGTCGCCAAGCAATGTGCGCAACACCTTGCCAGACAAGATGGCAGAACTTGCAATTCACGCTGCCATCCAAATACGTTGCCAATCGCCCAAATACATTGTGATACCATACAAGTTGCCATTCCAGCAAGTTGCCCAGCAGTGTGCCAAGCCCGTTTGGCAGCCGGAATAGTTCTCGAATGCATTGCCGAAGAACTTCCGAACTGGTTGCCAAATACATATATATATATATATATATATGTATATATATATATATATATATATATTTCTATATGGTACACCCCCCCCCCCCCAAACCGACGCCTCAAGATAATTTGACGGTATTTACAGGTCGTTCAGGTGATTTTCACGCCTCTTTTCAAGCACCCCAATGTTGACCCCCATTTTGACCCTCTAACTATGCCTTTATCTGCACATTTGACTGCACATTTGACTGCACATTGGCGAGTCGGGCGCTCAAGATGCGGGGCAAGAGCGCTGGCCTCAGGCAGAACTGGCATCCATGCCCTTAGAGGCCATGGAACTCTTCGCTCAACTGTGCCCTGCCGCCTGGCAGATGGCGCGGCAGGCCCACCTGCCAAAAGCCAAGGGTCTGAGGGCCTCTGATGGGGCCAGGGAGGTTAGCGGGTTGCGCCCCCTGACCCTCTTTTCATCCTGGTACAGGCTGTGGGCATCAGCCAGACTACGTACCACGGACGCTCAAGCCTGGCAGGACACTTGGTGGCCAGCGGAAGCCTTGGGAGGTAAAAAGGGCAAAGAGCTCTTTGAAGCACTTGCTCCCCTCTTCCAAGAGGCTACCAAACATAGATACCTTATCAGCCTTGATTTCTCTTTGGCGTTCGACTATTGCGACCCGCTCGTCGCAAGCTTCGTCCTTGAAAAATTTGGTCTGCCAGCGCCACTTGGCCGTATGCTGCTTCAACAATGGACCTCCCAACAACGGCTTATTTCCTT